ATAGCGAAAGTTAATGAACTGATGTCTGGTCTGAGCGCCGCGCAGCGCCGAGGGTAGAGAGAAAATAAACAGCTGGGAAATAAGCGCCGCACTGCGCCGCGGCGGCTCGCGTCGCGCCCAGTAAAATGTATTTGCCTTCTGCCCTTACCATCATGCCTTGCGCGATCGTAACCACTGGAATTGTCTCATTTAAATGTGTCAAAAATCGGCACATTTAAATTAAGACTACAGTCGATGTATCTAACGCGCGACGCCATGTTTAAAATGTTCAAAGAATCAATCCTTTCCAACATAAGGTTTCAACGTCGCGTTATTTAGCAAGGATTTGTATTTAATGTACGTACCTCTTTCGTCCCTTTACAACCGAAGATACAGGTCTCTTTTGGGCGAAAAACGAGGCTACCATAATCCATATCGTACAGGCATCGCGCAAGAAAAAAAGTTCGTGCGCATGTTTGTACATGACTTGACGTGCATAGCGCGCGAGTGCCCTATCCGGTTCGTTACATAGATATTCTTTATCTTAGAGAGCAAAACGCTTGTTCATCTATTTTGTAGGTGAGATCTATTTTGAGATTTCATCTGTGTTTGGACCCAGGTTATAATGATTGGTTTGAGAGGACTCTTAATTTAAACATACACTTAGACGAGGAAGCTATAATTTTGGCATAAGTAAAAATTTAAGTTATTTTAGTTTCGAAAAGTACTTCTCAATTTCAAATGGATCTACTGCAAAATGTCATACAAAATGGGACTCCTTTGAAGTACTGTGTCGAAACTAACTCTGTATTCCAAATGTATTATAGGTCAAGGTATTGCTTTGGTTTCTTAAGTAGTTTCTGTATAGCTGAGAAGTTGCTTTGAGGTTGAATAACGTATTTCTTCCAGGGGAAACAAATAAATAAATAAAAGAACGAGCGTCACATGACATTGGGTTTCGCTCTGTCATGATTGTCGATGAACCAACTCCAAACAATAAGCATTGGTACGGTTACCATGGAAACTATTTGACGACAGCAAGCGATATCCCAAACATTAGGCTCATCGTGCCAGGGAGTGGTGCTCTGCCCGTTTTGATCGCAGATATCAAAGTGAAGACCTGCTGGCTGGTTATGAGAAACCCGCGTAAAATGTGGGCCTTCAGTTGGACTCTGGGGCTTTTTAGTTCCCTCTTTATTCTACCTGTACGAGGGAACACGTGTAGTGCCATGGTCCAAGCTGCACCCGGTGATGATCTGACCGCACTTCGTAACAAGGCGTTCGCGTCTTTCAGAGCCCAGTGCCGTGGTAAAAAAGGCAAGTAATTCTACTCCATAAAAATTTGTTTAAAGTGCAACTATAGCATGATGTCTTACAGGGAAATCTCAGAGATGTGGTGGTTGTGCCAAATTAATAGCTTAAGTTTTTTTTATTACAATCATTTCATTGCAAAACCAGATTTCTAAAATATCTGTTTGCTGGCGTTTTGCGATCCGTATGCAAATTAGAAGGCCACGTAACTATAGTGTTAGTATCTATATCAGAATTAAAGTCGAGCTTCATCTTATCGAATAGACATTTAAAAGACCGTGCAATGGAGTTTTTCCCAAGATTCGAACTTCTTAAAATGCAATTACTTTTCGTTTTCAGGCTATTCCGCCAACTTTGCAGATTGGCTTTTCCGCCATCAACTGAAAAGCCATTGTTTTTCTTCCCATTTTTTTTTTTTTTTGGGGGGGGGGTTTTGCTTTTTTGCATAGTTACGGAAAAGTCTTTGTCTATAATTATGCGTCAAGGAGGGCGCTGTAAGATTTCCCGGCTTAACATCGTATATGGGTGCACCCAATCAAATAAATTCCAATAGACAACAGTGTAAATGCTCATACTTCAAAATTCTGTTAAAAAAACTCAAAACTCTCACATGTGTTCAGGCTGCACAGAAAAATGATAACCAACATGTCATATTTCATTTAACTTTTAATTTTTGTGTGGTTGACCGATGACTTTTCGAGACATTCTCCAAAGAAGACGACCCCTAAAATTAGTGATATTTCCCAAAGTGAAAAAGTAGCCATCTCGAAAAGGGATCCCTCCACAACATGGCTAAAAAAAGTCCGGGCCAGAGGTGTATTGCCATATCTCTTCAATCTCCCTATTCCATGCCTCTCAGAACTCTCTAATATGGACGAATTTGAGTGTATAACTTGTATTCATGAGCTTGGCAGACGGATATTTGGTCTATTTACTGGTGTGCAACCATAGGCCTACTTAAAGAAGGCCGACTTAAACCGGATCCAGCATAATATCCACTAGACATTTTCTACGCATTTTCAGCTGATGCATTGCGTAGCGACATGAACGCGGTTCTGCTTTTTCACAGTACATTGCGCCGATAACTATCTTTTCACGTTACGTTGTGTGATTTTTATCACAGTTTTTTTTAAGGAAATATGTCATATTATTATTTTTAACGTCACATTGTAACTTCACGGGGCCTGTAACTTCACATTTGCTATTTTTAAAAGCTATTTTGATATACCCACCTTTTCAGAAGAGTATACAAGACCATGCTTATTAAATTCTTGATTTTCATAATATTCTTGTTCTAGTGTGCTTTATGCACATACTATGTCTGGGTCTATTGTGGACTTCGTGCAATATCTTTTTCATGGTGGCTGTGTCATCTTTTCAGGTCAATTTTATCAATCAATCTTACTTAATTTCAGTGTGGCTATTTTTTCATTATGTTTTGTCACTTTGGATGGACCATTACTTTTGCCTTTTTTTTATATATTTTTTATATAAAAAAATGCTCTTTTAAAACGTACTTCATTAGTGTGTCCAATTAAATTGGTTTTAAAATACAAAATCATTAATCTAAGTCACTTTCTTTTTCACTAACCCTGTATAATTCATGTTCACACAGTTATATTTGGTCCTTCATGAATATGCATAGACAGATACGCAACTTTCACACCTTTCAATTGTCAGACTATTTTATTTGACCATCTCATTCCTGCAGCCGATTTCATGTCACCTTATGCGCTGACAAAGAACACTCGGGCCACCATTTATAGTGTACGTTGCGCAACATTTCAGTCACGACAATTTTAAGAAAGTTTCTCAGTGCGTAAGTCTGTGGATTGCTCAACAAATTATGGCAATTTTGACAATTTATCCCAATTAGGGACGGATCCATCGGGGGAAGAGGAGTTGAGGGCGCATGCCCCCCCCCCCCCCCCATTTCCTTCAGATAAAACATTAAGATGTTATCCCCACGTACAAACATGGTTCATGGTTCAAGGTTCATTTATTTCCACAGCATCAAATCTTTAAATGACATAAAATAATTGCATAGCAGAAAAGAATTACAAATAATACAACAAAACTGATATTTTAGAGACACTGCAGCAGTGGGACCCAATAAGAAGTAGAGCTTTTAAGCATGGGCCCCAGACAGGCAAGCTCATTGAGTCCAAACCATGGGAAAGGAAGTAACTTACAATGAACACTATTGAATGGTCAGTCACACGAGGTAGGGCTCAATGAGCATGCTCTATTTAAAGTAATTACATAGAAAAGCAACATACCTAAACACAATACACATTCAGACGTAAACAACAGACAAACAAACAATACAATACAGATCATTTTAACTAGTCAGGTCAACAATGAGCAATACAATCATGGATATTCTACAATCTACATGTAACAACATATGTCTACCATCATGATTTAATAATAAGTTTGAATTAAGATTGATTTAAATAGGCTTTTAAAAGTGGAAAGATTGGTAGAATCTTGAAGTTGTGTAGAGAACGAATTCCACAGCTTGGGTCCCTTGTGATTAACAGTATTTTGAGCAAGAGAGGTACGACTAAATGGAATATAAAAATTAGAAGCTTGACGAGTCCAAAGAAATGAATTTCACTTCTGGCTAAAAATACTATTAATGGAAGATGGTAAAGTATTGCGAGAAGATTGATACATTAAAGACCCAAGCTGAACGTTATACATATCATTAAGTTTTAAAGGTTTATGTTTTATAAAAAGGGGATATTTGTGTTCATAGAAGTCGGCAAAATTAATTACACGCAAGGCTCTTTTCTGTTAAAGAAGTAGTCTTGTAGCAGAACTACTACCCCAAGCAAGTAAACCATAGCTAAGATGAGAGACAATTAGTGTGTTATAAAGAAATTTCAAAACGTTTACAGGTAAAAGATGCTTGATTTTGTTAATACACCTACGTTTCTTGCAATGATTTTACATAAATGATCAACATGATCTTTCCATGTTAGCCCCGAGTCAATAAACAAACCCAAACATTTACAACAATCAGTTTTTATAATTACAGAATCATCAATCATACTACTACAGGGTAGTTCACTGACAGAGTTACTGAACAACATGGAGCTAGTTTTGGAAATATTTAAGGATAATTTATTTAGTCTGAACCAACTCGAAACAGATACATGTTCAGTAATAACAGTGTCAGTGAGGTAATTGAGGTTGCTATGGGAAAAGAATAAAAAAGAGTCATCAGCAAACAATATAAAGGAGAGCAAATTAGAAGACTTTTTTAAAATCATTACTATATATTATAAAAAGCAAAGGTCCTAAAGTTGAGCCTTGGGGTACTCCGTGTGTAAAAAAAAATAGATTTTGAGTTTAAGCCATTTATATACACATATTGGGTTATGCGTGCGTATCGACCCGATACGGTAGAATTACATATGGCACTATAATCGTAAAAAAAAATGTTCATCTTGACATGCTAAATCTTGACGAAAAAGCCCTAAACCATTGACACATTTGTGATCAAAAAGCACCAAAGCCATGCCGCTGTACGCGTACACTCTTAAAAATACGTGGTTAAAAAGTAACCACGTCGTGGTCATTTTTAACCACGTTCCCGTCGTCAAATATGCACCGACGACATCCGTGGTCAAAACGACCCCACCTGACGTGGTCAGTATAAATAACCACGTATTTTGGTCGATATTTGACCCCATTGTGGTCATATTTTTAACCCAATTCCGTGGTCAATTTAACCCCATTGCCGTGGTCAGCCATTTTGACCAATTCCCGTGGTTAAAATTTCGCAACCCGATTTCGTGTTCAAAAAAAAAAAAAAAAAAATTCATGAACTAAAAAATTCTACAAGTAATCCTGAAATGGTGCACTTAAAATGAAACACCTAAAATTCAACGAAGGGAAACTTAGACATAAGAAAGAATGCTTTAAGAGTGCGTTATCTTCAATACACATTTTTCTTTAATAAATTCCGAATATCCTTATACATTTGTTAACTTTTTTTTTAAATGAATGCAGTTGACTCTCTTAGTACAAACAATTCTTTCATTTTTTTTAGAGACATATGAGCACCAAATGTTACAAGTACAATTTAACAGCACACAGATGTTTTTCATTAATAAATTGATGGTGTGAACAGTTTGTTTCACCAGTCTATTATATAGCTGATTATTTTAACCAACTTGCACAGAATACAGCATTCAGGTACATACATGTATGTATTGTAATCATTGAAAATGAACTGTCAGGTTGTATAGCTGCAATTATTTAATGATTGTGGTACATTTTCAGTACATTTTAAAAATCTCAAGTATAACACTTGTGTCACCTAATCCACATAATCAAAGATAATGTCAGGATTAAACAAAAGTGGTTTTCAGTCAATAATTAGAATTTCTTTAAGTATTTTCTGCTAAATTTAAAAAAAAATTAAACAAAATTTGTGAGGTCTATTTGCAGTAGAGAGTTTGGTTTGAACTGACTGAACACTGTAGGACCCGTCTATCTTTGGTTTGCCTCCTAATGTTGAAGGTTGTCGCTGACATTCACTCACTGTTTGGACACCTAAAGTAAAAAAAAAAAAAAAAGGTAACTTAATAAATACTTCTGGAAGTAAATTTAATGTTTTTGTTGCATCAGTTTGAAATTTGAGCTGCATGACTGATAGACAAAATACTTTCACTCAAGTAATTCACTTTTTTAATCTAAAACTTACATGTGCATTGTAAACATGTGTGTACATTTAATTTTCATGTTTGTGATACAAAATTACTTCATTGATGTTCAGAATGTATCCACAGTCGTAAGACTAATTCGAAAACCTCATTGTTGTACACATGAAGAATAATTACCTTAAATTTAGTAGCATTAACACAAGCTGAACAGCATGCAATAACCAGCATGACAGCTGGACCTCTACAGGTTGTCTTCATGATGTTGGACGCATCTATCAGTCAATGATCCAGATCATTGCAGGAATGGTCACCAGTCAGCCAGGGCTAAAAATAAAAACAAACACAGTTTGTTTTTGTCAAAAATGCTATTCTTGGGACATTGGAAGACCATTTCACTGACTAAAATTACACATAAGCCTAGCCTGCATGTCCATGTTTATAAAAAAATAGATTTTGAGTTTAAGCCATTTATATACACATATTGGGTTATGCGTGCGTATCGACCCGATACGGTAGAATTACATATGGCACTATAATCGTAAAAAAAAATGTTCATCTTGACATGCTAAATCTTGACGAAAAAGCCCTAAACCATTGACACATTTGTGATCAAAAAGCACCAAAGCCATGCCGCTGTACGCGTATACGATGTTCCGTGCGGCATAGGATGGCAGTGCAGTGCAGCGCCATCACCATTCACTGGTAGGACTGGAACCAGTGACTACGACCTACATAACGTGACAGGACGAATTTGGATCTTAGAAAATACCAAATAATTAATAAACATCGATGAAGAAGGAGAATTTATTCCAAGTAATTCCCAGAACGTGATCTCTCTTTTCTGTGTATGTATTTTCCATTAAAATATATTTATAAGGAGATTGTTCCGCTCATATGTACTTGATACACCGTTAGCGTGTTTCTGAAAAATGTTCGGCAACAGCACGTGGGTTCGTTGCCGAGTCCGCTACAAATACACAGTGCAGGTATGCACACTGATAGTGCGCCGTGTGCACGAGGCGATATAAGGCCACTGCTGGCTGGCGGCTGACTGTGACTAACGTTGAGCATAGTGGCGTGGAGGACTTCCATTCTCCATTATTTTTAAGAATCATCCACCTTAAATATATGTTTTTCATATTAGGTGAGGCAAGTTTTATCACTTTTGATGGACAGTCTCGATTACTTTTGTGGCGTGAATGAACTTTATTAAGGCACAAATTATGCATGATTCCTTGTATGCTCCATTAAGTCAATCAGCACAAGACATTTTTATGACGAAATAAAAAAAAATTCCGACCTAACGACCCTAATTTTGGAAGGTCATGTAATACGAAGAAGAATTTTTTTTTTGCTTAATTTGTTTTAATTTGAAACTTACTTTTCATCCGAACTTTTCCAGTTAAGAAAATTGTTATGTTTGTGAAATATTTATTATATTTTTATTTAAAAAAAAATGTTATCTATCTCCTCTGAATTTTGAGGAAAAATCTACCTCAAAGATACCAAGATTTGCTCTAAAGGCACCAAAGAGCTTCTAAAGTTCACAATTTTGGGACCATTAAGTCGGCCCCGAACCCCACGCCGTAGCTTTTCACGTTGGTGTATCACGACAAAACTTCCCCTATACAGGTTTTAAAAAAATCACGCCCTTCACCCTTTGGAAAATCCTGGATCCACCCCTGAAGTTACCGCACATAGATAGTCAGCTAAAACTAAATATTATTTCCAAATGGTGGGTAGAGGTGATTCATTGATTGTTTCACGAATGAACAAATCATATGCAAACATCCGTCGTATATTATGCAGATATTAGGCCTATATTCCTCAAAGATGTTTAATTTTTTACAACGTTGCGCAGCTAGGACAAGTAGGGCTGGAACCATTGCCAGAACATGAGCAACTCTTTGCAGATGACCAAGTACGACTGAAAAAGAAGAAAATTCTAGGTAATAAATAATCAGTGCTATGGTCGAGTCCACCCCATCCGAACCGAGTCCTTGGTATCCTAGTCTGAGTCTGAGTCCGAGTCCTTGTCTCCGAGTCCGAGTCCTTTTGTGAATCTCAAATACACATCATTGTGGTTGAGAACCAGGACAAAGCATATTGTTTGACCCCTTTTAATACAAAGCAAAGGTTAAATGTAATATGTAGTAAGCAGTTTAACCAAATTCATAAAAGATTTCGCCCTCAATATTTGTTTAAGTGAACTTCAGGATTTAAAAGGCTTTCCAAGTGTAAAAAACTTAAAATATTGAAATCCCAAATTCCGATCCTCTTTAAAAAAAATGTTGCTGGAAAATTGTCACTGCTTGTACTCAGAATGCCTTGCAAGGTCACAAGTATGTAAATTATGTTTTGGCTTAATTAAAATTTAAACTAAAAAATGTTCATTACATCTTTGACACATAAGCATTTCCAACATGCGGGAAGATAAGCTGGCACGATGGGGACGCATTATTATACCCCCATGACTGAAAATGCGCTCCACTGGTGCACTTGATGGGGGTATACAAGTAAAATATTTCACAAAATTGTAATGCCTACCACATTGGTTCAAAGTTTTGGGAGGAAGGAAAAGGTCCCCCCCCCCCCGCAACTGAATCTATCCCATCATTTACGAAGTTCCTCAGGCTTATACCAGGATTTCTGTACACGCTGCAGATGACGGATGAAGTTGGAGGTAGTTCCATGATCACTAATTTCAGAAATCGTGGCTTTGCAAAAGTTACAGTTTGCAGAATGTCTCTTCTTGCCCGTTTTGTAGCCCGAATATTTCTTGTGATTAGTAAATCCGTACTTGATCATTCGGGAAAGCACCGACTTGATAATGTCATGTCGGCGCATATTATCATACCACATATTATATGGTATGGAGTGGTAAATGGGTTAACCAGTTATGCACCAATCCAAGATATGCAACATGTGAGCTTGCTATCATCGACTACGACCCTCTATTCTGCCTTCAGATCGGTGTCTCCCCATGCCTCACTGATAATCACGTCTTGATGGAGTTGCAGGCTTAGGGTCTGGTGTCTTGTAGTAAGGCCTGCCTCTCTCATCCCAAATGTAGCTCCTTCAATCTGAAGGACCAAGGACAGGGCACGATGGTGTGCCAGCTGAATGACCTCGCACTTCAAAATGCAGCTGATGAAGATGTGGTGGAAATTGAGAACTGCTACGGCCTGGATCTGTAGAAACTGGTTGCATGAAGCAAACTGATACAAAAAATATCCTTCAGAATGGTCCGATGAACAAGTACATGTCATGTACAAAACACAGTGGTGGCTTACATTTTCACAGCTTAGAGTGAATGACTATTTTGTGGAGATTTGTTGTGAACTGCTAGAAATTTGAAAGGATTTACAAGTTTGGAAAAACTTGTACTAGTCTGCAAGTACAACATTTGTTTTAGTGAGTGTTGTGACTGTTTAAAGTAATTTGCATAGTACTTGAATTGTTTGTTTTGTTTTGTTTAGATGGAGAGCCTGTGCATTGGCAGAAATGTAGCCAAAAAGTAACCACATACATGTACACTTTACTTTGTTTAATATGCCATTAGTAAAAGGGAAAAAAGGGCAATTTCTGACCACTTTCACCATTTTTTTATTTAGCAAAAGATAATCATGTAAACATCATTTTCGAGTTTGGAGTCATTGAATCAGCTATTTTGAAACTTGAACGACATGTCGTTTGGCGGTTTGGCGGTTGAGATATCATCTTTCATTGAAAAAAAACGTTTTCATTTTGCCGACGCGCATGGTTACGGCGACGCGCGCGATACCAGCAACCGGAAACTTTTTTTTTGGCCTTACGGCACACTGCGACATTTTCGTAGGCCCTCAAATTGTTCGCAGGCGCTAGGCACATCAGTGCCTACTGTGCCTATTGGTGAATCCAGGACTGGGGTTCCAGCCCCATCAGATTCTTAATTCTGCAGGTTGTTTTTTTTTTTCACTGAAATGTGTTTCATTTACTGATGAACATAGACATCATTGTACTGTGTATACAACTTGGGCACAGGGTCTTTGTCCACACCAAGTTTGCTGATGATATGGACCCTGTGCACAATGTACCCCCTCAATAGTTACCAAGGGTGAGTCGAGGGAGACATTCCAGCACACTGCCTGTCATGCCTGAGGTACACATGAAGATATCATGGGTTTATGCACATACCAAATTTTAACAAATGGTGTGTACTTTGCAGTGATGTAGTGCCTTGATGCTGGGCCTTGGCCTTAAGGCTGCCTTAAGGCTGGATTTTAGGGCCTTGGCCTTGGCCTCGAGGCTTGAGGGCAAAAGCCTTGGCCTTGGCCTTGGCCTTGAGGGTTCAGGGCCTTGCAATTTTGAGTCAAGGCTCTTCAAGGCCCATAGAGTTTTGCATTCGAAATTTTGCTGTTATCATTTTAATCGTATTACATGTACGATGGAGGAGGGAAGCACCATATAGATTTGTGTGTTAGGCACACTTCCACTTTTATAGCATCACATGTTGTTACCATTGTAGTAGATTTGCTGCAACAATATTCCGTACACTTGTGGGGCTAATGAGATGATCACTTTAATTGCATATAACTATGGAATAGATTTGATTGGTTGTATATGTCTCCCTGATAAGTGCTAAAGATTTGCATGTATCTGTTTTAGATAATGCTGATATTTCTGACCATGTTGGGCCAGCAAATAAAAATTTCCCAAATCAGTTTCTTGGATCCCCCTTTTGTTACACTTGGGAGAATTGTGTGTCAATATAGAAGTAAATCATTATTTTGTTTAGTTAAACCATATTGAAGACCTGAACTTATACGTTAATAGATACAGTGCAGTCATAAAACGGTGTAGGCCTATGCGAGCATGTTGATTGCAATTAAGAAATGTTGTTCTTCGTAACGAGCAATTCGTGATGATAAGGCCGGATCCAGGGGGGTCAAAAGGGGCCACACCCCCCCTCCAAAAAAAACGAAACCATTTTTTTTTATGTGACGTCGTAATAAAGGCAGGCAATGAGTACACCACCATCTTTTCCTAAATAAACATCGGTTAAAATGGCCCTTAAGCGGGCCCCGAAGCCCAAGCCGTAATCTTTTGACCCACTTTTTTTTTTTGGGGGGGACCAACATTTCTTTGCCCCCCCCCAATTGTGTTCTGGATCCGCCCTTGCGTGATGATGTGTCACTCATGTGACTATAATTAGTTCTATATCAGTGGTCATTTCATAAAACAGGGCCTTGGCCTTGGCCTTGGCCTTGAGGGTTAAGCCTTGGCCTTGGCCTCGAGGCTTGAGGGTCGAAGCCTTG